GAGCCTTGCCTTTGCTTTGCTCCAGCTCTAAATTGTTCAGTTGCTTCATTTTGCTTATTTCATGCCATCCTTTTCCTTCCTCTTTCTCCCTCCTCTAGTGCATTCTCTGCAGTGCCTGCCATCCTGCTTTTCTCCGCCTCATCGACTCCCCATCTCACTCCAAATCTCAGTAGTAAACATATGTTCTCCCTTGTCTATACCTCTTACTTAATTTTGCTTTTCTACTGTTACTGCTTTCTCTGTAATTGTATTATTTAACTTCGTTATACATTTTATAAAATGAAAGATGTGGTTGAAGCTGTATTATAATAAAAATCATGTCATATAAAGCAGATTGTTTCCCAAGGAATATGAAAGTCTCAAGACACAAGTTAAAATTGCTGTTGTTTGTATTTCTTGATTGTGTGTGCAGAGAAAAGTTCAGTGTGTCAATGGAGAATTTCCCACCTCATAGTCACTGTTGGCAAGTGATTGGTTAAGCCACAAATAGACTATTTTTATCTGTTACTTTAAAATTTAGGTAGTTGTTTGAATGAACTAGGAAAGAAAATGTCTCCCTAACGCTGTATTTAATAATCAACCTTTTTGGAAAACCTAGTGTTCCAGATTAATATTTGTTTGTCCAAATGGGAAAAATTGTTTGCTTTTGAATCCTATTTTCTTCATAAGATCAAATTATTGTATCTTTTGCAGTTGGTGTATTGCCCTTTGGAGGTTTGTATTGCCCTCCAGGAGGTTCATCGCCTCCTTGAATGTTCATACCACCTCTGTGCCTTGGCAATGTTTCTGATAGTCCATGAAGAGTGCTGACTTCTGCATTGGTGGAGGCTACCACACAAGTCCTAAGACTTTTCCTTTCTTAGCTTCATTCATTTCTTAGGGAAAAGTGGAAAGAAGCTGTCCTTTCTTTTGCATGTGTTCCTCTCTATGCCTGAAACACTTTTATGTGTCATCTTAATGTGTTAGAAAGGGCTTTAGAATCAATGGAGGTTGAATAAGTATATTGACTTTGTCATTGTACCAAACATTACTTTGTTTCTTTAAAAACACACTTAAAGCTAAAGAGCTGAGGGACAGTGCTAGGGCCCAGAGTTCAGGCCCCACGACCAGACCCCCCCAAAAAAACAAAAACAACAAAAAAAAAAACACACTTAGAACCAGGTGCTGGTATCTTACACCTGTAATCCTGTCTACACAAGAGGCTGAGATTTTAGGATCATGGTTCAAAGCCAACCTGGGTAATAAAGTCCTTGAGACGCTAATCTCCAATTAAAAGCCCAAAATAGAGCTTTGGCTGAACTGGTAGAGTGCTAGCCTTGAGCAAAAAGCTCAGGGGCAGTCCCTAGGCCTGGAGTTCAAGCCCCAGGACCATCACATGAACATGTGTATTGAGAGCTGGGGGTGTAACTGTTTCACACTTGGAATTCTAACTATATCAGAGGCTGATATCTGAGGGTTGAAATTTGAAGCCAGTCTGGGCAGGAAAATATATTAGACTCTTACCTCAAATTAAGCAGCAAACATCTGAAAGTGGAGCTATGATAAAAGTGATAGAGTACCAGTGTTGAGTGAAGAAGCTAAGGTACAATACATTGTCCTGAGTTGAAGCCCCAGTACTAATTGGCACAAAACTTAATAAATAAATAAAAGATGTTTAATCATTTTAGTTTTAGTTTTCCAAGGATTAAACTATTTTTATTTAGTGTTGGAAAAGCAGCATCCATTTTACTTTGTGTATGAACAGTTTTTATATATGTTTTCTTAATTTTACTTAACTTTAATACATCTTAAAAAATAAGATAGGCCATATGACAGACTTGCTGATCTGTCATGGTGAAAACTTGCTAACAAACAGTTGTAAAGTTTGTGGCTTGTTACTTCACAGCTTGCTGTGATCTTGTTTTTGCCAAGAATGGTTGTGATGCTCACATGAGTGATAATATCTTATTTTGAAGAGGTCTTTTGTTTTATTAAACTGTTTCTGCTTTCTGATAAGTACTTTTTTTTTTCTTTGAAAGTAGAAAGATTTTTTTCCCCTTAGGTCTGAAAGATTGAATTTAGGTCCTGGATGCTATTTCTAAGCTTTTTGCTCAAGGCTAATAATGCTCTACCACTTTAGCCACAGCTCCACTTCTAGCTTTTTGAAAATTTATTAGAAATAGTCTCAGGGACTTTCTTGCTCAGGCTAGTGTCTCACCTTGATCTTCAAATCTCAGCCTTCTGAATAGCTAGGATTACAGGCGTGAGACATTGGCACCCAGCTAGAAGGATCTTAGTTGTTGAGTGAGAAGTGATGTCCAAAAGTCATACAACTCCTCCATCTACCCAATGTCATTATGCAGCATGTTGACAGTTTTGATAAGTACTTTCTTTTCTCCAGAAATTCCAGGTTCTTTTTTTGGGGGGGGTCCGGTCATGGGGCCTGAACTCTGGGCCTGGGTGCTGTCCCTCTTCAGCTCAAGGCCAGTGCTCTACCACTTGAGCCACAGCACCACTTCCGGCTTCTTTCTTTTTGCTTATGTGGTGCTGAGGAATCGAACCCAGGGCCTCAGTCATGCAAGGCAAACGCTCTACCACTGAGCCACCTTCCCAGCCCTAAATTCCAGGTTCTTATGTTTCTTGTTCTTTGGGATATAAATTCCTCCCTTTGGTGCATCTATGGAGTGGCTTCATTGTAGTTCATTTTTGTAGTAGTATGTGTAATGAATCTTTAGTAAGGGTTTGATCTATTAAACATTCTTGCAAAGAGGTTTCACTTTGTTCCTACTACATCCTAACAATGTATCAACTAAGTATTCAGTTCCTTTTTCAATTTTTGGACTTCAGAATAGGGTGATTCTAAACCACAAATGTAGTGTGAATTTTGGCCTCAGAGAATCTAGATATTCTCTGGTGATTTTCCTTGGATTGTTTTAGTTAATATCATACCTATTCAGGCTTCCTGGGAATGAGCTAAGTTTTCACAGTTTAGGTTTTGTGGATAGGGTGATCTTTGCTGAATTTTAGCTTTGTGAAGGTCCTTCCAATATACCCTGTGTCTTGAGATAATACCCTGTATAGATTTACTTGAAACCATTATAACTATTACTAATTCGATGACTCAGGTTAGCTTCTGCTCCTGTCTCCTGCTCTTGACTTTCCTCTTCTTATAACTGTGTGTTCTTGTTTCAATCTCACCCTTTTACTTACAGTTTCATTCATATATGTTGTTAGCATATTAGTGTGTTGGGACTTAGGTGGCATTGAAAGGAAGAAGGATGTAGATTGTAAAAGTAAGATGCATACATTTTTTTTTGCTTTCTCACTGATATTCTATCAAGCCAACTAATTTGCACCTACACTATACAGAGTGCTTGAAGAAAGCAGGGTGCCAGTGGCTCACGCCTGTAATCCTAGCTACTCAGGAGGCTGAGATCTGAGGTTCATGGTTCAAAGCCAGTTCGGGCAAGGAAAATCCATGAGACTCTTATCTCCAATAAACCACTAGAAAACTGGAAGTGGCACTGTAGCTCAAGCGGTAGAGTGCTCACCTTGAACTGAAGAGCTGAGGGATAGTGCCCAAGCCCAGAATTCAAGCCCTACAACCGACCGACAAACAAACAAAACAAAACAGAGTGCTTGAAGAAATGAAGATGTTTCACTGGACTCTCCTTAATCCTAACATAGAATTTGGTAGAACTAGGTCTGATACAAATGCAGTGTCATTTGGTGCAGTGTCATTATTAATATAGAATGAAATGGTTCAGAAAGAAATAATAGAGCAGGGCTGGGGAGGTGGCTCAGTGGTAGAGCGCTTGCCTTGCATGTATGAGGCCCTGGGTTTGATTCCCCAGTACCACGTAAGCAAAAAGAAAAAAGCTGGAAGTGGCATTGTGGCTCAAGTGGTAGAGCTCTAGCCTCGAGCTAAAAGAGCTGAGGGACAGCGCCCAGGCCCAGAGTTCAGACCCCACGACTGGACCCAAAAAAAAAAAAAAAAAGAAAGAATAGAGCAATAGAAACTTAAATTAAAAATGTGAAGGGTTGTTGGAACTTCACTGGGTTTTCTGGGTTGGGAGAGGCTTAAAATACCAAATCAAGGAATTTAGATTATATTTTGTATGTCAGAAAAAACTATTGTAGGTTTTTGAGTGGTAGAGACATTGATGGGGGTAACAAGTTTTGTGCAAAAGTTTTGGAGTTGAACCCTGCTTTGCTAAATAATTTTCTTTTTTTTATTTAGGAAAAGTTAATCCCAAAACTTTACAGATACCAAAATAAGTATGCTTAATTTCCTTATTTATGTTGACAGGAGTTTGCCTACTTAGGGCAGGGCCCAGGCCTGTGCTGTAAATGAATGGAACAGGCTAGACAGAAGTGCAGCCTGTGGGGAAGCTGGGTCTTCTTGATTATCACAGGTTACAAAATAGATCAACTGGGCAAAAACTCAACAGAGAAACTGCAGATCTAAGCCAGAATTTTTTTTTTTCTGAGTCCGGACGTGGGGCCTGAACTCTGGGCCTGGGCGCTGTCACTCAGCTCTTCAGCTCAAGGCTAGCACTCTACCACTTGAGCCACAGCGCCACTTCCGGCTTTTTTCTTTTTGCTTATGTGGTGCTGAGGAATTGAACCCGCCACAGCGCCACTTCCGGCTTTTTTCTTTTTGCTTATGTGGTACTGAGGAATCGAACCCAGGGCCTCATGCATGCAAGACCACTGAGCCACCTTCCCAGCCCCTAAACCAGAATTTTAAAAGCACTGTTGGCCCCAGAAAATTTTGTCTATAGATAGACATACTTTGAAACAAGACTATATAGGTCTAAAACCTCTTTAGAGACAGGATTTATTTTTGTATTGTATTCTAACACAAAAATGTTTAAATACAAATGTAAGGGGAAAATATAGCTTGTTTGATTTAAAAATTATGTATCTTATAAGTGGTAGTTTGCTAAAATATTTGGAAGCATGCTTGGCTTTCTGATTTAGAAACTAAAACGGTGTTTTCTAAAACTTTTGTCTTATAGCTAAAAGAATGCCACATTTCAGCATTTATACCTAAAAGCAGCATGCAAATTTCAGGCCACATGGATGAGTGCCAACTTCTGTATTTCCCCTGTGTATCCTGTGACCACTCTATCTGGGGTGAGTGATTTCCAAGAGTTGCTGGCAACCAACCAGATGCCAGCCAACCGAGAACTGCCCTAACAAATAATGCTAAGAGTTATAAATTAAATACTGTCTGGTGATCTGTGATGTGTAAGGCAGTTAATTTAGTTGGTCTGAATTAACTGTCAGCTCACAAAACTCTTTTCCCATAATGTAGAATCTGTACTTAGCATGTTAGGAAGAGAAGAATAATTAAGAACTGGGAATCATTTGTTAAAATAGGAAGTTATGACAATGCATAAGATTTTGTTTGGATTCACAGCAGTAATTTGGTGACCTGCCACATAGTTTAAATAATTGTAATTTTCAAAGTTCAAGGACTTGATGGTTCTTGAATAGTTGTTATAAATTTGTATAATATGGGGCTTTGGGGTTCATACATCTTTCATTGCCTTAGAATATCACTTTTGTTTTCCTTTTGGCATAAAATTAGATAGATATTTAATATTTAGTGTATTAAACATCTATTAGATAAATTGTTCCATAGAATCACCTTTATAGTTTAACATTTTTTTTCAAAGTTTCACTCTGGGAAATTATACTGGGGATAAAGCTGCTTTGTTAGATTATCATGCATTTTTCTGCTTATTTAAATCATTTTACTTCACCACACCATTCATTTTTTTAGAACATCCTTCAGAGTTCATGCGTCTTACTGAGGACACCTGACCTTTTGAAGCTTCATAATTCACGACTAGATGTCACCAGTCTTTCCCATGTTAACAGTTCTGACTATGTTTTATTATATGTGCCTTCGGCGCCGAGCCATGACAGCTACAAGAGGAGAAATGATGAACAGCCATAGAACTATAGTATCAAACAGCCGGACTTCCCCTCTTAATGCAGAGGTGGTCCAATATGCCAAAGAAGTAGTGGATTTCAGTTCCCATTACGGAAGTGAGAATAGTATGTCCTACACCATGTGGAACTTGGCAGGTGTACCGAATGTATTTCCAAGTTCTGGTGACTTTACTCAGACAGCTGTGTTTCGAACATATGGAACATGGTGGGATCAGTGTCCAAGTGCTTCCTTGCCATTCAAGAGGACACCACCCAATTTTCAGAGCCAGGACTATGTGGAACTTACCTTTGAACAACAGGTGTATCCTACAGCTGTTCATGTTCTAGAGACATATCATCCTGGAGCAGTCATCAGAATTCTGGCTTGTTCAGCAAATCCCTACTCTCCAAGTCCCCCAGCTGAAGTAAGGTAAGAGTCCTTTATCAGTAACCTAGGTTATATGGCTTAAAATGTTTTAGTGATTTTAATTTTTGTTGGAAGCATTTTCTTAAGTTATTAATCAACTTTGATTTTGAAACTTTTCCTTAATTTTCCCAAAGGGAAAAGATAATAATGCATGCTTTCTACCCTTAACATCTCACATTATAGTATTCTCAGATTGTTACTTGCTTGTCATAGAATTTACCATAAGTCAAAGCACAATTTGAGTTAACAGGGCCATGGGCCAGTCTGAAATGTTAGTAAAGAATATGACTTGTAAAATAGTTTGAAATAGGAATCATGTTATTTCTTTTATATACTTCAAACAACTCAAACTTAGACTGTAGAATGATACTTTAAAGGAGGTTATAGAAAGCTTAGTTTTAGTGCTAAGTGGATGATTCTGTAATAAGCATATGTATTAAAAAATAAGTATTCCTTTAAGTAATTTATGCATTCTTCCTATAAGTTTGTTCATTAATTTGCATAACAGCCTCCCCCTCTGTCTCTTGTTTTTGTAGTTCCATATTACAATTTTAAAAAATAACAGTATTTGATTAGTTGATATCACATAGGCCAATAACCTAAGTATATAATGCAGCATCATACATACCTTGTTCTTTGTCTGCCTAGGACCTAAACTTTCCCTCAAGAAATTGCTTTTATCAGCTTTACTTTGTTTTTTTTTACAGTTCCTTGATACAAATGTGTCTATTTTTTGTTTTATTCACAAGATAAACATATTATTCACATTGTTTTGTGCCTTGTTTGCTTCTGTTAGTAGTATATATTGCATCCAGTCCTATAAATATAAAAAGAGCTTTCTCATTCTTTCCTATAGCTACAAGTAATATATAGCATGGGAAGACCCCCATTTATTAACTAGTCCCCAATCGATTGGCACTTAGCAGTTTCCAGCCTTTTGCTATTATAAACATTAATGCAGTAATCACCTTAGCATAGGTCACTTCACCAGTTCTCGAAGCTTATCTGTGAGATGAGCTTCCTAGGAGGAAGCTTGGCCAATGTATGCACATTTGTAATTTTGATAGATAGTGCCAGATTTCTCTTCCAAGTTTCTGTACCAGCTTATGTTCTCATTGATAATGTAAGGATGTATGCGTTTTGCTAAAGCCTCACCCACGGTGTATGTTAATTGTTATTTTTGCAAATTATTTTGTGAAAATTGTTACATTAACTTTGTTAAATTATTATCTCTTTAGTTACTAATATTTTCTTTTCCTTGAACTATCTAACCATGATATTTGCCCATTTTTCTATTGTTAATTGTCTCTGTTTTTAGATCTTTTATCATCCTAATTTACTTATTTGTTAAATATTGTAGTGTTCACTACGTTCTGGGCATTGTAGATATTGAGGACACATTGATGAATAATGTATAAAAGAAATAATTCTGTCTTTATGAGTTTATCTAGCCATGGGCACTAACAGATGCCCATGAACTATGGGACCCCAGCTGCCAATGTAGAAGGACTCAGTTAGAGAATGACCACCACTCCTAGGGCACACTGCTTCTTGGGTGTTTCTGTCCTCAGTCCTGAATGAACATCTGTTTAGCTTATCAGGACAAAAACACAAAGTACAGCTCCACTCAGCTTTGAGACTGTTTACTTCTTCCTTTCTGAACAACTTTGATAATTTATTGTGCATAGTGTTATACATGAGTTATTTTAAAAAGCACACCAAAAACCAGTATCCTTCAGTATACAGATTTTCCCTCCAGAGGAAAATTGGACAGTATCTTCTCTTATATGAAAATTGTTTTAAAAGCACACTACATTTTTGATTATTTTCTAAAAGAACACACACTTTTTTCTCCGAACTGAACAGATTTGAGGATGATAGCTGTGAAACATGTAATGTTTTTAGTCCATTCTTAAACTTAATGACCACCTAACTGATTTTGCATATAAATCATGTTTATTGGTTTGTCAAAGCTATTAACATATGATTGTGATTAATCTTAAAATATAATTTACAGATGTGTCTCTAATTTGCTTTGATGATTTTTAGCTTTATTTCCTAGAAGCAATTAAATTTTAAGAGAAAAGCAGTGTAGGGAAAGGTATATATAAATTTCTGATTATGAATTGTATGATTTGGTATTGTGAACAATACCGTGTGTGTGTGTGTGTGTGTCTGTGTGTGTGTGTGTGTGTGTGTGTGTGTATTCTGCCTAGATTCAGTAATGGTTAACATTCTGGTGAAGTTATTTAGACAATGAGAAACATTCATTGAAATCCTTTCTGACAATTCAGTGTCGGCAACAAAACAGAGTAAGACAGAGATGGCTCTTGTTTTCTACACTCATAAGCTAGCCTGGAAAAGAACTGTCAGATTGTAGTGAACATGTGCTGGCTGAGGGCAGAACTTGATCTGTGGGGCACAGGGGAGAAATAATTATTCACTGAAAATGAAGGAGGCTCTAGTGTTGGTAAGAAAGGTGGAAAAGGTGAGAGCATCATGTTCAAAGAAGTGAGAAAAATCCAAGAGCATAAAGAGTAAGCTATGAGGACTGCAAACGTGAGAGGATCTTATTAAGGTCTAAACTAGTGGTTTTTGTGAAAATACTACACAGAGGGGTTACAATTACATGAGCAAGGTAATGAGGACATTTCTTATCAAGCATTGTTGCCTCCTCCTTTGTTTTTCCCCTACCATTCCTTCCCTCCCACCTCCTCAACTACATTCCCCACCCCCCCGCCCCGCCTAAATTGTAAAGTTTGTTTTTTAGCATAGTGTCTTGTACATCTCATTGTTGAATGGGTCAACTTGTATCCCTATTTAAACATTTTGTTTTTTCCCTTCCTCTCCCCAATTTATACCAATATCAAATACAGTGAAAACAGGGGTTATACTGTGGGGGAGGAACATACAAAGCAACAAAAAATTCACATGGTACCTTATAAATACCTTAGAAACAATAGCAAGAAAGAAAAAAAACCACTTATGTCCCTATCTTGGGGTTCATAAAGACACCTTGCATCTAAACTTTTCAGAAGCAGAACTTGAAATTACCATTCCTGTACAGCTATTTATTAAAGTAATGCTTGAGGAGAATAATGTTATTACTTTGTTGGTAAAGCATAGTAGTAGAGAAAAAGAAGTGAGGCAGAGATGCAATTTCATTTGACATTTTATTCTCCTATACCAGTCTGTCTGCTCATCAGCTTTAGGCTACTATGGGCTTGAGGGGTAATAAGGGGAACTAAAAATCTTTAGACACATATCACTTTCTAGATGGAGAAGCTCTAGGAGCCCAAGGTAGTTCTGTGAACCATGTTGCAGCTGCCAGCCTCAAGGAGTGAAGCAGGCCCTTCTAGAGAGTGGGCACAGGAACTGACAAGGGGATACAAGTGAGCAGGGAGCTGAGCCAGCCATTATAATCTAAAAAATACAGTATTGTTTACAAAATATAAACAAAAACTTAGTAAACTTGCTGTTTACTTTGCTAAATAAGCAGACATTAAAAAGACAAATGAGGGCTGAGAAGGTGGCTCAGTGGTAGAGCGCTTGCCTTGCATGCTCGAGGTCCTGGGTTCAATTCCTCAGCACCACATAAGCAAAAAAAGAAAAAAGCTGGAAGTGGCGCTCTGGCTCAAGTGGAAGAGCGCTAGCCTTGAGCTGAAGAACTGAGGGACAGCACCCAGGCCCAGAGTTCAAGCCCCACGACCGGACCCCCAAAAAAAAAAGACAAATAGTAACATCTCTTATTATCACTATCATTTCACAAAAGAAACCTCAATCTATATCAAGAAATTAGAATGGTCAGAGTCTTGAAAAAACTGTTGGATTTTTTATAATAATGAGTGTGCACATGTGTGAGTGTGTGTGCTAGTACACATTCCATTTTCACATTTAAGTATGAAAAATTCCACCGGGTTTACTGTGTAGGAACCAGTGGGCTATACTGCCTGTCATTTTAGTTGAGCCTACAGTTTTCTGCATGTTTTAGGAGTTATCAAACAAGTGTGCTCAAGAATTTGTTTGCAGGAAAAGTATTTCTTAGAGTCCCAAACATTCAAAATTTAAACATCATTGTTTTTTTTTTTATCAGATTGTTGAGCCATTGAAGTACAAATTACCAGTACTATTCTTCCAAGAGTGTATCTATACTGCTTTCTTGGTCTAATGACCATTAGGGTAATTGTATGTTGAGTGGCTTCCACTGTTTCAATTTGTTTCTTGCGTTTCACATTATTTTTTTATTTCAGTTTCTAAATTCCTTACTGTAGTAATCAATTTTTATTTAGATCTCAGAAGGTCATTTTGTCAAGGAAATGAGCCAGTAGTTTTCTTGGGTAAAAACCTCATTATTAATAATAAGTATATAAAAATTATAAAGCAGAAAAAAATAAGACTTCCAAGAGCACTTACCTGGCAAGCGCAAGGCCTTGAGTTCAATACCTAGTACTGCCCCACTTCAAGATACCATGAAAGTTTTAAGTTTGTGTGAAACCAATAACAGGAATGAAAAAGCTGGAGTAGGAGATCTTTGTGAGGCATACATGATCAGTTTTGTTTCTAAAGTTGGTTAAGGATATGCTGCACATAAGAGAGCTTTATCCTGTGCACTTAGGATTTACTTTGGCTTTCTCACTTAGGGTTTACTTATTCTGTCAAACTGAATGCTATTCTTCAGGTACCTCTGCCTCTAGTCTTGAAATTGATGAATGTAAAATGTACAAAAAATGAGATTGTATTTTGGGGGGAAATTGTAAAGTAACTTAAATAATAGTGTCTATTATACTTTGCTTTTTAAATATTTTCATATCTTAGAAATGATTCTTGTGTTTAATCTGTTCACCTTATTGGTGCCTTTGTTTTATAGTGTAATGTATTAGGCATAGGCCATCACTCTAAGGTACAAGTAGATCTCATTTTAAACTATATTATAGGGTAGTTTCTCTTTTTGGCAGATGGGAGACCCTTTGGTCAGAGAGACCTACGAAGGTGAATGCTTCCCAGGCTCGCCAGTTTAAACCTTGTATTAAGCAGATAAATTTTCCCACAAATCTTATACGGCTGGAAATAAATAGCTCTCTTCTGGATTATTACACTGAATTAGATGCAGTTGTGCTACATGGTATGAAGGACAAGCCACTGCTTTCTCTCAAGACTTCACTTATTGACATGAATGATCTAGATGATGATGACTATGAAGACAAGGATGGTTGTGGAATGGACAGTCTAAACAAAAAGTTTAACAGTGCTGCCCTAAGGGAAGGGCCGAATAACGGATATTTTGATAAACTACCATATGAGGTAAGCCAGACAGTCAGATATAATGCAACAGATTTTTAAATTTTAGTTATTTTATTTTTGTTTGATATCAGGAATAGCAGTATTGGTAAGGTGTGTGCAATCTGATGTCTTGCATATTTTGGTGCTCAGAAAAAATAGACAAAATTATGTTAATTAAGTTCACCACTTTGTATTCCACTGATGTTAATTATTTGGGGTAAACTATGAAGTATACACTATTTTATTAATAATAACCAAGTATGCAAATAGATAACAAAACCTACTTCAGTTGAATTCATAATTATACAATGTAAGTATAGGCAGTATTTATATTCTTTATGTTCAAGAGTATGTGCTACTAAAAATGGAGAAATAATATTATAAAATGAGTGCTCATATTACTTAATAGTTTGTAGTTTTGTCATTTGTTCTTATAACTTTTTTATTTAAGTGTTTGTACAAAAGGATTGCTATTTAACAAAACAATATATGAATACAATGCATCTTTTTTTTTTTTTTTT